CTAATATTAATATATAAAAATAATATTATATATTAATTATATAACTTATATTATATAAATATACAATATCTATATTAGTATATTACTACTATAGTATATTAATATATTATTATTATTATTTTATTATATATTATAATTTATAAAATTTAATGTTTTAAAATATAATAAATTTTTTATATATAATTATTTTATATTATTTTATATTTCAAACAATAATGATTCGAACACGAACGAACGCATCACTGTTCGTGTTTGGTTCGTTTAACTAACCGAACGAAAAAAATTTGTTCGCGTTTGTCTCGTTTACTTATCGAACGAATCGAACACGAACTCATTGACGAACCGAACACAAACTGTTCGCGAACAACGAGCTTTTTTGACAGCCCTACATGGAAGTGGAGAAAGCCTTGTGATTGTCTAATCAACTTTGCTATGGAAGGATAGAGCCTACCTTTACATCCACCACTCTCCCTCTTTCTTTCTTTCATTTCTTCTTTATCATACAAGATTTTTATCGGGTTATATGAACTCACAAACAATACGTGGCCCTCCGTCTCAAACCGATTCAACACATACATATCATCTAATTCTTATGTACTTACAGATCCAACACTTGAATGCTACATTTTACATTTATACCGCCCAAATCTTTTTTTCACATAAAAATTGAAGTTTAGGTTTTAAATGTGTAAATATATAGGAATTGAGTAATGTGAATGTAAACCTTGCAAAATAATAATAATAAGAGCCAAATTCAAAAAAAAAAAATATTTATAACAATTATTTTTCATTAATTAAGCGCATAGATTCAAATTAAATTAAAAAATTTAGATAAAAATGTGGAAATTTGGCGGAATAAAAAATCATCATAAAACGCCGGATCTTTAATGTCAAATCTTCAAGAGAAATAAATCTAAAGAGTGGAAGCATATTTTGATTCATAATTACTTGTAGCTATGCAGGTTGTTGTCTTACAAATTGATGTGTGTTCTTTAAATCTCTGTCGATGAGATTACAAACAAGCGGAATTCTCTTCTTTTCTTTTGAAAAAAATCAATAGACACTTAGGGTCTGTTTGGAGTAGCTGCTGTTTGAAGAAGCTAATGTGAAGCTATTGAAGAGGAACCTCTTATTCATAAAGCTTTTGTGGCTAATACAAAACAATCTTTTTTTAAAAAATCAGACTGTAGTTATCTAGTAGCCATTATAGGTAGCTAGTTTTGATGGAAAAACACAGCTTTTCGCTGCAACTTTTTGAGAATGTAGACAAAACTCAAATTTTTCAAACAAGAAAAATTGTGGTGTTATACCACACTGCTGCCCCAAACACACCCTTAACATAAAATGTGGACTATAAGCACTTTAAAAATAACTATCAAATTAATAGTTATTTTTGTCAATCATAAAAGTTGAAAATACAAATAGGTGCCTACACATAATTTTGACCATATTTCAAAAATTTAATACCATAAGCCTATAATATTACTTTATTGGATTACATTAATTATGCTTCATTTCAAGATTGCATAAACAACACATTTATTTATATATGTTGGCCTACATAAAAATAATAATTAATTAATTTCTTTTTCAATAAAAAAAGGAAATTCTTAGACAATAAGATATGTATTGAAGGTAATATCATTTTTTTTCTACTGATATCTTTCTAATTAAGAAAATATATTTTCGACCCACAAAATAAAAAAAAAACTCGAAAATAATCACTAGTAAACTTAATGATGTTAAGCTTATTATGATACATTTTAATGATATAAATATATTCTAATATAAATTATGTAAATACAAGAAACATTTCAAAGCTAACTTTGCCTATAATATATTAGCTATAAAAATTATTATTGAGGATAAAAATTTTTAAAAAATTATTTTCCATACAAAATTCACAGCTAATTTTAAAACCCGCAGTTATCATAAATTAATATGTGGTAAATTAATGTATGATCTTGATCAAATTTCACATGATTGGTTTGGTCATACACAACAGCAAAGTATCCAAGATTTTGGTATTTTGGAAGTATGTCATATACATAAAACTTAGTAGTTATGTCATATTATATCCTACAAAATAATATAAAAATTTGATGTGAACATTTTCTCTTACAATTATATAATATTGGAAGTCCAAATGTGCACGTTAATGATATGTATTATGTTACAATATTAATTGAATTTGGTCATTTTGTTTTAGTATCTTTTAAGATACAAATACTAATGAGGTGAAGTGCACTTATTTAAGCTTTGCTACCATTCAAAATCAAAACTTTTTTTCTATCTTATTCTTATCCACTTAAATGAGCAAGCAATTTGGAGCATGACCTTATAATACTATTTAGATGGATTAATCCATTAAATTTAGTTAGTTGCTCATAAGTCCCACTCCAATACCCTATGTGACTTATTCTATTTTAGATTACACCTATAGTTGAATACTTTTAAATATTTATATGAATATTTCTAATATTTTGATCTTTAAGGGAAATGAAATTAAAAATTTATGATTGTTTTCTTAATAAAAAAATAGAAAATCTTATTAAGTAATTAATCTTGTTCACTTGGACTAGTTTAGTTGAAAGAGGTTGTAGTGATATTGATTATGAATTACAAAAAAGATTAGTTTTATGGGACCATGAAAAAGAGTCAATACAAAGCAAATAAAAGTAAATTGTTATTAGCTATCATTGTTGATAACCATAAAATATTGTTAGGCAGAGTGACAAATGAAACGATGCTAGAAGGTTAAGATTTAAAGGAAATGGTCTTCTTTATGGAAATAACGGTAGAACAACTTTGAGGTGATGCAATGAGATGTTAAAAAGTAGATGAGGCCGCTGAGAATGATAAATAATCATCAATTAGGTTATGGAGGCATGACATCGACATAACAAAGAGGTGTCATTAAAAATCTAGGATGGCCACTAAGTATAAGCATATGGTTCTCTTCTTGGATGTGATGGCGACACAACTTTAGGTGAAGGTAAATATTAAAAGATTTTGAAGACCGATAAGGATAACTAAGAAACACAACTTGGTGGTAAATGTAATACGACTTAGAAGCATATGCAAGAAAACATATTAAAGTTGCATAAATGAATTATAAATGTCAAAATATTATTCCTTTTCGACGTAGGGATAAAATATTCAGAAAGTATAGATCGAGGCAAATTGGGAAGATTATGAATATGATTATGGATAAATAAGATGTTTCTGTCTTTAGATGTCAGTATGAATATAACATAACACCTTATAAGAAGATTGTGAAAAAAAGTTATGGATGGGATTGAGGGTGTTTAGTTTGCTCTTCTCTTAGGAGTTGATGATAACACGACTAAAAAGATATCAGGTGAACTAGGATATGAAGATCTATTCATATTTTAGAGATGCTTGAAGGGCTGATCAACATATATAAAAGTCAGACACTATAAACTTTAAACGACTTTCGGAGCAATGATGTTCTCTTATAATTTTTAATGTATGCGCAACATAGTCTTTATATAAATTTTTAGAGACTCATTTCATGGTAATCTAAGACTCTATCATAACATTCATCATTCACATCAATAAATTATACAGACTAGTCTTCGATCAAAAACCAAAAATAAAGAACTATTAGCTATGGTCTTGAATAACCTCTCCTATCACGAGCAAAGATATGTGACCTTATATATTTCAGTGCATAAATTCAATTATTTTCATAATTATTTATTATTTAAAATTTATTTTCTCCAATTCAATTATTCATCAATAAAGAAGCATGGTGCATATTTGAGTTATATTCTTCATTGCTCAGGCCTCTTACACTTTATTTCCCCAATGAAACTCTTCCATCTCCCTTCATGCTACAATAACTGTTTTTATTTATTTATTTATCTACATTTCTTATAATTGATTGCACCCAGTTTCATTAGTCATGAGTTAGCTCATAATTAATCTAATAAAAACAATTATATTAAATTAATTTAATAAATTGCATTTTTGCTCTTCCTAATGATAAATTAACTCAAATACAAGAGCTAATAATAGATTTTATCAATGAGTTTAACAATAAAGACCTTCATTATATCTTTTTCATTTTTGGTCTGGAAGCCACGTGACGCGCCAAAGGGACGGCCCGCCAACGGCAGGAAAAGGACGCTAAATTTGCACCCTAAAACACGACCGCACGCTGCCCGATTTTTTCCCCGTTTCTGGACCACGCACCCCGAGAAGCACTTCTGACGTCAGCGGGTCCCCACCAGCCCTGAGCTAAGTGGTCCACCTCTACCGACCGGGTCATCATTCTTTGACTGGCTTTCCACGTTCCTCTCGGCTAGGGGCATTTACATGCATATCATCCAATTCTTTTCTATTTACATATCTAACATCAGAACTTTACGTTTTCCGTTATATCGCCTAAAAATATTACCACTTTTAACTTTTGAAAGATTAAATATGCATTTTCATCTAAAGATAAGATGTCATGTATGTAATATTGAAGTTTAGGTGTTTGATATGCCATTTTAGCTGTGAATCACTGCTAACCGTCGTCCTTCACTGTCTACGACCGCTGATCACCGTCGATAGCCTTCGACCCCTGCCGACTGCCGTCAACCATCGTCGACTGTCATTGACCATCGCTCACTATCATTGATCATCGACCACCACTTGCCGACCTCTAATGATTGCCATCAGTCACTGTCCGCTACTTACAACAAGTTCATTCACGCTCCAACATTGTAAGTCCAAAGAATGTTGAACCCTTTCCCGCTTGTGGGACAGAGAACTGTACATTTAATATCCAGTTTATAGTAGGTTTCTCAGCTAGGCTAGATCATGTAGTTTTTTTCCCTTTCTAGATTTTCCATGTGAAGTTACTGGCGTCATTACTAGTCATTTTCTTTCTTCTGAGTATGTGTTGAATCTTCATAGCACACTAAAATGATATTATGCTACTTACTGCTACGAAATTTCTAGTACGCATTAATAAAATTAATTCGTGCTATAAATATATATATGAAAAGATGTATTTTACTTATAAAAAGATTCAAGTTAGCGTAGCTTATTTATTAATTGAGAGCTTAGTTTTTCAACAATAATAATCGAAGGAGAGAGAGAGAGATAGATAGCGAGCGAGCGAGCAAGAGGTTATGCATGTAAATCTACTATATATAATTAATGATGCGCAAAGCTTTTAATGATTCCTAATTTTCTAATTTTAAAAAATATTCATTTTAAAATTAATGCTTTTCTTAATTTTTTTAAAAAACTCCATTGGTATTTTCTTCTGTTGCTTCCAAAGAAAATAATTGGAGATCCCTTAAGTTGTTTGATATAATAATTGAATAAAAATGAATAATTTAATAATAATTAAGTTTTTAAATAATTAAATTTGAATGACTCATTGCTAGATTTTCTCATGTACATGAACAATATCATCATCTAAAGCTCATGAATAAGCTCATTAAGAAGATTGCAAAACATAGCCCCAAGTCTACCCCCCACACACCCCTAAAAAGAGTAATAATAAATAAGGGCATTTGTATGTATTTATATATATCAAACACCAAAATTGTTTACATTTAAACCAAATTAAGTCTTCATTATAGCATAAAAAATACCGTCATTTTAAATTTCATGAAGTGAAATACACATTTTCATGCATAAGTAAGCTGAGAAGTATGTAAAAAATTGATATTTTGGAGTTAGATAATGTAAATACATAAGAATTGACCAGTAAATATGTAAATGCCGCCAAAAAATAAAGCAACAAATGCTGAGACAAAAAGGCTGGAACTTGACTCGCACTGAACCAACCAAAATTCATCCAAAATTATCATAACAAAACAAAGAAAACTATCTAAAAAAAGAAGAAGTACATAAATCTGAATGAAAAAACAGCTCTATATTACAGCAAAAGGAGCAGAAAACAAGAAGTTAATCAACAGGCTAATGGAATAGAAGAAAGTAAGGGGAACTTTTAGAGCTTTAAGAGTCAAAAAGGGAAGAGAATCTTCAAGGATGAAATATATCAAAGAAGCCTACTTCTGAACTTTCTGGCGGCGGCTTTATAAGTCTGTAGAAGCAAACCCGCTCCCACACCGATGCCGAGACAGATGCCGAGGCCGAGTCCTACACCCACTCTAACACCGGCATTGAACCAGCTTAGTTCCCCATCCTCTCCTTCCATGTATTCTGATCTTCCGTACATACTGTTGTAGTCGATGTCCACATCATTTTCTGGCGCAAATCCTTCGTATTCAACCAGCTGCAAAACAAGATGTTCTTATCATTTTAGATGAAGGAGATGTTTACATTACTGCTGATTTCAAACAGAATTGAGAACTTCTTTAGGCCTTCGAATACATTTTTTTCTTTAAAGAGGTTTGTAAAGAGAGAAAGGAATAGTTAACTAAGCAAGAGTATTAGTAAATTTTGTTTATAAAGTGGAGTCAGAGAACTGCCAGAGAACAGAAGCCAGAAACAAATTAGCATTTGAAGGAACTTCGGAAATCACAGGTATGGTTACCTAGCCAGTCATAGAACCAAACATAATCATTCTAACATATGCAATACACAAATGAGGTGTGGCACGGCTGCAAACGAATTGAGTTAAGTCAAGTATGACTTTGATCAAACATAACTTATTTATAAAATTCGAGGTCAAGCTTGAATTTAGCTTTTGTGTTATCATGTTCAAGTTTGGCTCGTTTGTTATTCTGACAATTTAAACTCGTTTTATGTTCATTTCATACGATGATTATCGAGTTTTAATCGAGCAGATTAAAAAGTAGTATTATTGAGTTACTTGATTTCTAATCAAACGACCATTAGTGAGCAAATTAGAATGAGTGCTATCGATTTATTTATTTTCTAACCAAAGGAGCACAAATAGATTAATGATATGATTGAGCTACCTTATTTTTTAATCAAACAAGCTTTAACAAGCTTATAAAGGAATTATTTTTTCAATCAAACTCCTAAATGAATAACAAAATTAAGCATATAAATACATTAAAAAAATGCTTATGTATTATGAATTAAGATTTTAATTTAATGTGATATAAATGAATTTTAAATCGAATTTTGACTGATTTTATTCACAAGCTTTAAATTAAAGTTTAACTGATCTTATTCACAAGCCATAAATCAATTTTTAATCAAGCTTACGTGTCTTGCTCTGTTGCTCATGAATTTTAAATTAAACTGTGAATTGAGCTTGTTAACAGACTTGTTCACGAGCTTTAAATGATATTGTTCATTAACATAAACAAATCGAGTAAGTAGTTCAAGTTTATTTAGTTAAAAATAAAAAAATTATAAAAGCGTTCAAACTTGTTCAATTAGTTAATCAAATGAACACAAGTCACTAAAAAAATAATAAAAAAAAAATGAATGCGAATCACTCTTATCGACCCGAGCTATGAGTGGCTCATCAAATGCTCAGTTTGTTCGCAACCCCAAGGTATGCGGCTATGCGCTAGACAATTGAAATAAAATAAAAATGCCTAAAAATGTTTAGTAAAAAAAACCATCATCATGTTAAAAGCTGCCACTAGAAAGATATTGTTCTCAAATCCTAAAGAAATTCCAACTTTCCTCGCCCTCACCCCTACAAATAAAAAAGAAAGGACATAATGAACTAGTTAGGAAATCATGTCGCAAGAAGACGAAGGAGAAATATCAAGTAATACTTCATTTGTTTTATTTAGAGATACATCCAGTGTTCTAAAATTCACAAGGGAAAAGAAAAGTAAAAGTTTTTCATGAAAATAGATTACATGAAGCATTATCAATAACGATTCCCTCCTAAGACTATGAGCAACAAAATGACGAGCATCTAGCAATTGAATATTCACATGAATATTGATATAATGAAATGATCATTCACATTTTTCAATGCAAAAAAATTTCATCCTATTAAGAGATGTGAGAGTATTAGTGTAGTCCAACTATGGATGCTTTAAAAAAAAAAATACTAGTATAGAATATCAAGAGGTTGACTCTCTCTCATAGAGTTAAACTTTGGGTTGGGTTTAAAATATGTTGATCATTTGCAAATTAGACCCAACCTTGGTTCCCTTTGATCCATGCGCCGTAACAAGTGGTATAAGAGCAGACCACTTAGCTAAAATCGAGTAATTCATAAATTTTTTTTTGGCTCTCGTGCAGCTTGTTACTTCCATCAATGTTGAGCAAGATTTCTGTAACTCCCAAGAAAAGCTCCACAAGGCTGACTAATACCTTGGTGTATAACACTAATATTAAAAATTCTTTAATTAGAGGATGGTGATGGATGCTATGAAATCTCATATGAGGAGGATATCATTAGAGAATGTGAAAATATTATATTTAGTCCTACATCATCTAGGAATGAAAACAAGTTGGCATAGATATACCAATTGTTTGGTTGTCTCCCATTGGAATGGGTGGAAAATGGTATTGAACGCTCGCATATCGGGTCCAACAACCCCCTTTAATTCATATTCCCAAACACAAACTAAGTAGATGTGTAAGAGAACCAATACATTCAACATAAAAAATTCAATGCTTGGGATGGTTACATCACACTACACTCAACATAAAATTCAATGCTTGGGTAGGTTACATCACATTCATGGCTTTTGCCCTAGGAATGAAACAAGAATAAATAAAGTATTTTTTTGTTTAAATTTGCAAATATGCATGTTTATTGAACAAGTAACTTGACTATAGATGGATACCATCCTTTTCCCATATCTGTTTACAAAATTAACGGCTATCTTGATTATTGAGGCATAATTGTAGAGATCTAAAGGTAATGTAAGTTTCCATCATGTAAATCCAAAGAGATGTTGTAGGTTCAAGATCTACATAACATTAAATTATAGAAATATCAACTCATAAACTTAAATTTTTGGGTTAAAAAAGGTTTGATTGTTGGTGCATTATACCCAATTTTAAGTATCCTTGGATCCATACTCCCCAACGAATGGTGCAAATGATTTAACTTATAATCATATAGATCATATAACTTTTGATTTCCAATAAATTTATGAAAAGACGAAAATTCATTGTAGGTTAGCAACATGTAATACATTCTTAGGAGTAAATGCATAATGAAATAAGAACATTCTCATGACCCGCAATAATGGTGAGAAAGCTATTGACTATTAACTTTCTATGAGTAGCACCAAATTTGTGGGTGTAAAAAATAATACCAGGATTTCACATAGTGATCGAATTCTCGTAAATCTATAATCCAGATTTTAGAAGAACTATTTGAGTCATTCAATGTAGATTTGTACCACATTGAGCTAGAGAGCATAAATTGGAAGATTTTTTGAAAGAATTGAGAAAGTTCCTTCGCTTATCAATTTATCTTGAGTGAGTCCTTTCGGTTTGACAAGATAAGTCAGCACTTTAGATTGCCTTTGAGGAAAGGCTTTTCCCTTTTTGGAAAAATTCAGTAGAACAAGTCCCATAGCTTGGGGTTATGCTGTCGTTATGGTTGATGTTTCCGAGGTAAGATTGTTAAGCATTACCATCCTTTTTCCTTCTTCAATTCTCATTAGTAATAAGAGCTCGTCTAGAGATAAGAGTGATAAATGCCAGACCTACCATTCTATGTTGATATAAAACACCAATTGTTTGTCTTTCTCCCAGAAAATTAAGTTTAATGGTATATTGGGCCCAACTTTGACCATCTGTGATCCATACTCCCAAATCCGCACTATGTAAAAGTGTAAGGCAATCATTATACTCGACAAAGATTTCAATGCTTGGTAAGCTTACATCAAATTTAGGGCTTTTTGATGGGGTAATGAAAAAAGATCAAAGAAAGCATCTATTGTGTAAGCTTGTAAACATGCTTGTTTATTGAACAGACATATAACATGCTTGTTTTATGATCAGTTTAGTAAATTGATGGTTATATTGACCATTGAGGCATATCTGCAGAGCTATAAGGGTAATGAATTTTTCCATCATGCAAATTCAAAGTATTATTGTTGCAATCAGGTGTTCAAGGCATTCTATAAATATCATCTAAATGAGACATGAAAGATCAATCACTAGTAAAGCCAGTATGTAGTACCTCTTGGTCTTCCTTGGGCAACACTTCTTTCATTGCCCCAGGAGGTTCATTCTCTGGAATTGACTCAAGAGCCAACCTCACATGTTTTTTCTTTCGAATACCGAGTTGCAGAGTTTTGGTCAAGATGATAGCTGAGCCTGAGAAACATCCAGCAACATAGACCTCAATGGTAGGCAATGCCACCTCTGGACTTGTATACTGCTTCCCCTTCAAAAAAAATGATCCCTCAGACATTACAGGCTGACACTTCATACTCCATTTCTTCGCACTATTTTTTTGTTCTCCAGTTAAGCCATTGCTCTTCAATAGCTCCAACACTCCCCACAACAACATATTTTCACCGTCAATGACCTCAAATCTCACACTTCCTGTCACCCTGATGCTATCAGTGCTTATGAATATAACTTCTTCTGATTTTTTATCAACTCTGTCCCTTCTAAGGGTTGATGAAACAAACTCCGTGCTGATGCCACTTCTTCTGCCATTAACTTCAAGAACGGTATCTGGAGTAAGAGGGATGTGATTAAGCATAAGATGCTCCGGAGCTGAATCATCTACATCACAATTGCTCAACCTCACATAGAAAACCTTCAAATCAAGCCATGCTGATGACCTGGGAAAGTATAAAGGGTGTTTGATGATGTTGTGTCCTGGATTTGTGGAACCATCTTGATTTGTAGGATAATAAGAAGCAGCCATCGAAGGCAAACTGATGATTAGAAGTTGATAGAGAAGAACTACAGTGGGAGTTCTGCATAAGATGTTGGAAATAGTTAGTGATCTCCACCAAGCAAAGTAAAAGCTTATAAACTAATAAATAGGAAAGATTTTGCATATATAAGCTTGCATAAAATAGACTGAGACCATAATATCAAATAATATAACAGTAACAGCTGTACATGGAATAGATGGAAGAAGAAAAAAAAATTCAAACAGTAAGCACAGAAAGCTCTCATAATCAGTCCTGTAGAAAAAACTACATGGGTTGGGTTAGATAGCTTCAAAAAGACAATTTTTTTGGAATCTTTCCTACGAAAAACTACTCTCTTTCCAATGAAATCCTACAAGCCATAAGATAACAAGAATCTGAATAGATCGCCGGCACAGACATAGATCATTCCAAAAAGCTTCTTTTTAGGAGGGGCATAGCACCAAAAGCGCCATTTTTAATCTAGGCAAATAGCAAATTTTCACTACCCTACACCCAACAAAAACCTAATTCGATTAGGTAAAAACATAAATTAATAAAAAAAAATAAAAAAAAAATCAAGATATGATTACAGATATGTCAAAGATTGGAAACAAGAAAGGGGTACGAAAGACCTTCAAAATCTCAACTTGAACATTACAGACAATTATACACTCAGGGGAACGCATATTCTCCCCGATACCGGAATCAAAACAAAACCTCGTCCCCATTTTAAAATCGCAATAAGTAAAAACCTAGCCGCGGCAAGATTCACACTCCCGGAAGAGAAAGAGAAAGCAAAAACCTAGTAGTAGGAAACCTCACAATTCCACAAATTCTGAAATCGCCCAATCGATCCAGACAAACCACAAAAAAAAAAAAAAAAAAAAAAAAAAACATATAGCAGAACCTCCAGAAGCAACGGTCCTCACAGTTGCATTGGCAAACCGATCGCTGTAAAACGCAAACGGCCAAAGATGAGGTTTTTTATCCACCACTAACCGAAATAGGGAGAAAACGAATCCAAAATATTCGATGAAATACCGCAACCACGAAGTTCAAAACAGCGACTCACCTCAGCAGTGGGATCTGAAACAAGGTGCCGCTTGCTTCGCCCGTCGCTTTCTCCGCTAGCAGAGATGAGAAGATAGAGACTTCAATACATATATCAAATAATACGAAGCAACTTCATTACAGACGGTTTTTCATCTCTCGTTCTTATCGTCGTTAAAGGAGGAAGTAGGACACCTTACTGGGTCCTCCCACCAGCCACGCTCATACGTGCCACATAATTCCTTAATTAAAACCATAATTTTTTTTTTAATATTTAAATGCCCATCATTAAGGAGCTGTCCGGTAGAAAATAACATTTCAGTTTTTAGGATCTAATAAGTCTGAATTTATCCATCCTGATTGATTTAAATCCAAAAAATTGTCTGGTAAGAGAACATAACTGTTTGGCAAGTACGTATAACAAACCGATCAGCTCTTCCTTTGAACCTCCTAAATTCCATAAATCCATCTATTTATGGGATTTAGGCCCGTTTGGGACAGCTTAAATGTGCGGCGGCGTTTTTGAAAACGCCGCCGTAGCGTTTGAAAATCACGTCTTCCCTGCGTTTTTGAGAACAGCGTTTTTTATTTATGTTACACGCGGATCGCGGGTATATCCCCGCGATCCGCGTTTCGGCTCCAAATTTCCCTT